GTGCCTGTGGTGGCTGCTGCTGCTGCAGATGCCGCTGCTGACGCCATTGCTGGCGTCGTTTCTGCTGCTTCGGCTGCTGTGCCTGCTGCTGGTGCACCTAAAAATGAGGTTTTCAAGCCATCAGCACGATCATCAGCGAAACCAGCTCGGTCAGTGGCGAAACCAGCAGCACCATCAGCAGCTAAATCATCAGCTGTTGCTGCGTGCAAGCCATCAGCACGATCAGCAGATAAACCAGCTCGGTCAGTGGCGAAGGCAGCAGCATCATCAGCAGCTAAATCAGCACCATCAGCAGCACCATCAGCAGCTCGGTCCGTGACAAAGGCAGCAGCCCCTTCAGCAGCTAAAGTAATGGCTGTGGTAAAGCCTGTTGCGTGCAAGCCATCAGCACGCGCAGCAGCTTCGCCAGCAGGACGGCCAGCGGTGAAAGCAGCAGCGAAATCAGCCACACAGAAGGCAGTGAAGCCACCTGTGAAGGCAGCAGCCTGTGGAGCAGCAATGGGAGGGACTGGAAAGAGAGAGACAAGCAAGGTTGGTGCTGCAGAGAAAAGTGTCGGATGCAAGGGTAAGGTCTCTGAAATGACAGTAAAAACATCAGCAAACAAGACATCAGAATCGAAGGCAAGACACGCTGCTCCGGCTGCTCCTGGTGGGGGTGGTGCTGCCACGAGCAGATTGAGAAAAGGTTCAGTCTCAGCTGTGAAGGGGGAAGGGAAGAAGGGAGTGCAGGCAGCAGCAGGGAGCAACAGTGAGCTGCAAGGCCAGACGGCAACAGCAGCCTCGCAGAAACAGCAGTGCCAGCAACCCAGGTGGAGGTGACAAGCTTGACTTGCTTCTGACTAGTGCGTAGGAAAAGTTTTACCTTGTAAATATAGCTCACCTGGTGAACTTCACCAATAGGTCTAAGTCTGTTACTTGTAGGCCCATGTAAATTAGATGCTGTTTTGGTCATTAATGTGTATATATCACACACAAAGTTTAGTCACCACTTGCAATAACCAAGAAGCTTTATTTGCTGTATGGGCTGTTGATCTTGTCGTTTTGGGCTGCTGAGGGGCTTATGTCATGTGTATGTCTCATTGTTTGTATGCATTGTTCATGCTACAACAAGAGGTGCTTGTTTATGCATTAATGTGCTGCTTGGCCTGAATGTGCTGCTTGGCATGATCCCATTCGCAATATGTTCAATTGGCAACAAGGCATTGCATTTCCTCCTTTTTTTCTACATCCCCTGTAAAACGCACTTACCACATTGTGGAAGCACGTGTGTCAGTCACTCTATTTCTCATGCGTGTTTTTTTGGGTTTCCAATTCAACTTTCACCAGTAACCACTGTGACCGTTATTGCACTCAGGGCTTGAAAATCGTGACTTCATTATCTCTCCATGCCCATATCCCTTACCTCACCACACCACTCACCCTCTCCCTGATCATTCGCTCTCCCCCTCTGCCTTCCTTCCCCCTCCCCACGCCCCTCTCCCTCCCCCGCATCCGTTCCCCCCACCCCCCCTCCCGCAGTGAGGCAAAGCAGTGGAGGGTATGGTGGTGAACATTTCGTTGGATGCGACTTCTGACTGATTCTGACACCTTTGCCGCTTTCAGTTCTTGTGCTGGCCCTCAATGAGATGAGCTTCGGTGAAATTTGAGAAGACCACAGTATCACCTTGCAAAATCAATCTGGTGAGCCATGTGGCTACTTCTGGCGCGAGGTTGAAACATGAAGTTGGGGAACAGAAACGGGAGAAGGTGGGTGCGTTTTGAGCTGGGACTGATTCTTGTATCATTCGTGATTCGCCAGCTCTGTTTCGTAAGTTCAATTTGGAGCTGTTAAGGTCAGCATTCAGGTTTCAGGTCAGTGTTTGTTCAGGTTTTCCAGTCAGTAGTCAGCATTCAGGTATCAGGTTAGCATTCAGATCAGGTCAGCATTCAGGTATCAGGTCATGTCCGTGCCATGCCAAGTCAAATCCATGTCATGCCAAGTCAAATCCTTGCCATGCCGAGTCAAATTCGTACCAGGCCAAGTCAATTCCGTGCCATGCCAAGTCAAATCCGTGCCATGCCGAGTCGATTCCGTGCCATGCTGAGTGAAATACGTGCCATGCCAAGTCAAATACGTGCGCCATGCCAAGTCAAATCCGTGCCATGCTGAGTCAAATCCGTGCCATGCCAAGTCATATCTGTGCCATGCCATGCCAAGTCAAATCCGTGCCAGGCCAAGTCAAATCCGTGCCATGCCAAGTCAAATCCGTGTCATGCCAAGTCAAAGCCATGTCATGCGAAGTCAAATCCGTGCCATGCCAAGTCAAATCCGTGCCATGCCAAGTCAAATTCGTGTCATGCCATGTCAAATCCGTGTCATGCCAAGTCAAATCCGTGCCATGCCAAGTCAAATCCGTGCCATGCCAAGTAAAATTCGTGCCATGCCAAGTAAAATTCGTGCCATACCAAATCAAATTAGTGCCGGAACAAAGAGCGGGCAAGTTCTTAGCTGACCATGTGCTGCTTGGTTACTCGTGTGCATCTTCCTTGCACTGTATTCAGGCCAGTATGCAGGCTAGTATTCTTTTAAATGCCATTTTGCGGCTGGAAGGATGTCACTTTTCTAACTTTCTGCAGGCTGTGCCATCACAACCATCACTCTCCACTTTTATCAAACTGCTGGCATGCATTCAGGTTGACATCGGTGGCTTTTGAGTTGACAAAAATATCACCTCGCAGTCATGCGAACTTTCTGCTGCATCTGTTTTTTACAGTGCCGAACCAGTTGCTGTAAGGCAGGTTGAGTGCTGCTCAGGTTGATATTCTGGTCAGTATTCAGGGCAGTTTTCTTTTCTAGGTATGCCATTTTGCAGCTGGACGAATGTCATTTTACTAACCTTTTGCAGGCAGTGCCATCACAACAACCATTACAACGACCATGTTTCTGTATCAGACTTGTGTCAATGTCAACTTCAGGGCCAGCTTCCTGAGCGCCTCGGAACACTTTCACCCTGAGTGGTAGTTGGCTTGGCAGAACCTCCAACGATGACATGTACAGTTGTCTAATTTCCTTATGTGTATACCGTACTGCCTTTTCTGTATCAGACATGTCTAATTTCCATGTTCCTTCGTTTCTGATTGACGCTATGTTTTCAATGGTTGCAATATTTGTCCAAAATGTTCAAGTACCAACTGGTAGTTGATTGCACAATTTTATCAATGTATCCTTGCACATGCCTGGGTTGCACTTGCTCGATAGATGCTCCTACCAGCATGTATACATGGCAAAGGGCTATTGCATACTTGCTACGGTAATCTGACAACCAACCGTTATGGTCTACACAGTTGGTTAAGTACCCACAGCCATAGCCACAGCCACAGCCACAGTCACAGCAGCATTCACAGCCGCAGCAGCAAGTCTTATTGAAGATGTGGATGGTTAAACTGCAGGCAATTCCTACGGCCTGTTGTGAAAAGAGAAACCTGATTCATGTGGCTGATGCTTCTGCGGCATACGAATGACGCCCTATGCGCCTGACGCACAGAGTGATGCTGCTGTCGCTTCTCCCACCACCCTACATGAGCCCGAACCCTGTGGGCTGTAGATGGCCGTCAGTAGCACGTGTGCATCGGACGAGGAGAAATGGTGGCATGGGATGAGCAGGGAAGGTGGGATGAGCAGGGAAGGTGGGATGAGGAGGTGCAGAGAAGGTGGGATGGGATGAGGAGAAAAATAGGACAAGGAGCAGAAATGGTGGGATGGGATGAACAGAGATGGTGAGATGGGATGATGAGTACAGATGGTGGGATGGGACTAGAGAAGAAGAAATGGTGGGATGGGATGAGGAACAGAGATGCTGGGATAAGATCAGGAGCAGAAATGGTGGGATGGGACGCAGAGCAGAGATGGTGGGATGGGATGGGGAACAGGGATGACGATACGGGATGATGAGTAGAAATGGCGAGATGGGATGAGGAGCAGAAATGGTGAGATGGGATGGGGAATAGACATGACGATACAGGATGATGAGTAGAGATGGTTGGATGGGATGAGGAACAGAAAGAGTGGGATGGGATGGAGAACAGAGATGACGATATGGGATGATGAGTAGAGATGGTGAGATGGGATGAGGAGCAGGGATGGTGGGGTGGGATGGGGAACAGAGATGATGATACGGGATGATGAGTAGAGAAGGTGGGACGGGATAATGAGCAGAAATGGTGGGATGCGATGATGAGCAGAGATGGTGGGGTGGGACGGGGAACAGAGATGACGATACGGGATGATGAGCAGAGATGGGAGTATGGGATGATGAGCAGAAATGGTGGGGATGATGAGCAGAGATGGTGGGGTGGGATGGGGAACAGAGATGACGATACGGGATGATGAGTAGAGATGGTGGGATGGGATGATGAGGAGAATGTGGGATGGGATGATGAGCAGAGATGGTAGGCGGGATGAGGAGAAGAGATGGTGGGATGGGATGGGGAACAGAGATGACAATACAGGATTATGAGTAGAGATGGTGGAATGGGATGAAGAGCAGATATGATGGGATGGGATGAGCAGAAATGGTGTAATGGGATGATGAAAGGAGATGGTGGGATGGGATGGGATGAGATGCAGAGATGGTGGGATGGGATGAGGAGCAGAGATGATGGGAGGGGATCATGGGATGGGCAGCAGAGTTCATGGTAAGGTACGACTGAGGAGCAGAGATGGTGGGATGGAAGGAATGAGGAGCAGAGATGGTGGAATGGACGGTAACTTACAGTACTTGAGGACAAAAGACACATGTCAATTCCAGCATTCCTGATTTATACGTCCGAAGGTGTTTTACAGCCATCTTTCTGGTGTGTGGATGCAAATTTTATCACGTATTTGCCCTTTCCCGTCCCCCAACCAGCATAATTCAAGTCTCTGGTTCTTCCAACAGGAGTTCTGATAGTTGACTCTTGGACCCCCACATCTTCAAAACTACTGATATCTTAATAAAACATGACAACTAGTCCGGTCTTTGCTACCTCGCAGACATGTTGTTCCTGTCTTCCAGCTCCTTCTGCACAGCTGACTGCAGCTTGTCAATAAAGCTGTCAGCTGAGCAAGCACCAGGTAAGTTGCTTGTAGCATGGGCCAGGAAAGGAAGTTTCCTTAAAATTCGCCCGCTAAGTCCCTGCAAGGGTGATTGAGTTTAACGTCACACAAAAACTGCTCGAAACAGCCACTCTTGGCGATTTTAAAAACGTACCTCACACGCCTTAGCGACCTCGAGAAGCTTCTTCCCTAAGTGGACACCCTTACTACTCCCCATGTCCTCACTATCACAATCGCTCAGCATCAGTTCGTTGTAAGTGGACGGATAGACAGTGTTGCCCTGTCAGTCATAACAGGAATCAGTTCACAAGGAAATTCAGAGACAACTGAGATTGCAGACATCAATAACACCGCGCAACTCGCACCTCCACTTCTTCAACAATCCCAGCTCGTTGAAGCTCGCAGAAGCTCGAATGCAGCATATTATAACGTCCTTGCAGTGACGGTGGTCCAATAAATGCCTTAATGTCAGCTCGGTCAATGAACGCCAGATCTGAAAAAAAAAAAAAAGCCACAATTTAATCGACCTTGAAGAACAGACAATTAACTTAACAAATGCGCCAGGACAGACCAATGGCATGTGTCAGATTCGAAGTCGTCAGAACCATGACGTTGGGATGTTGCTTCAGTTTATCAAGCTGAGTCAACAATGCATTCACGACCTGCACATATGCACACGCGGGAATAAACACGCGCTCAAATCAAGGCCCTGACAGATCACAGGTCAACATACCCTTATAGCATCCGAGGGATCTGAGCCATTTAGAGCAGCCTGACGAGCCGCAGCTAGGCTCTCAACTTCGTCTGACCAAGGCAAACCTTCAGTAAACACCTCATGGCGCACAGAGAAAGTGGAACGGAAATTGGATACCCTCACGTACCAATAAGTACAAACACCAACGAGCTTCTATCTTCCACGAAGGACTGGATGTGACTGAACAGCTTGCTCACCTGCAATAGAGAATGGACATTTGAGACCTCGTTCTCGAATCGCATTACTACTGCCAACCCAGAACTTACAAGCTTTGCGCTTTCAGAGAACCATTTGCTGAAGAGGGAGTGCGCATTCACCTCAATAAGATGAGCTGTCTGATACCTGTAGACTGGTGTTACGAAGAGATTCCAAGCTTGCAATTGATCTAGCAGTGATAGGAAGCAATATAGTCACCTTTCTTTGAAACGTATAGACAGCTTCTGGGCCAGTGCCTTACTGAATGCAGAAGCAACAATATAACAGGAAGGGAAAAGGTGGAGAGTGTTTGAACAAAGAAGGATCTATACCAATTTCAAGGCCCCCAAAGTCCAAAATGCAGAGAGCTGTAAATAAATGCTTACCACAGAGACGTTTTTCCTGTACCAGGTGGTCCGAACAACAAAACCACCCTGAGATTCGAAATGGGTCAGTAAGCGTAACGTACGTATCACAAACAATCTGGTCGCAACCATTTACCTGTTCCAAGAAACAAGCTGACAATTTACACCTTTCTCTGAAAACAGAAGGGCACTTGCAGCATATCGAAGAAGTCGGTTCTTGATTCCTGAATCATAAACCAGACTGGAAACGAGAAAGCCTTTAGAACGATACAGCTGACCTGCAACAACTCGTGTACGAGCAAATGAATTATTTCGACTGTACCTTTCCCAAAGACCATGGAAATCCTCTGACGGAAGGTTCCATGATTCAAACGAGGCAACCTCTTGCTCTTGTTCGGTGTCTTCAACAGCGCCTCCTCGGCACAACTGCGCATTTCAGATTGTATTTCATTTCGTAGGTCACGCCACTAATAATATAATTTCTTGGGAAATCAGACCTTGAAGATGCTGATTTGAAGATCAACTTGCCAGAAGAGAATAACCTGATTCGCAATAGTTTGCTCATCTGCAATGAACAAGAGCGTAAGGATAGCAATAGCTGCTAACTGAGGCAGTTTATGAAAATCCTCACTTACCAATGTCCACAAAGTTAATTGAAGCTACGTTGTCATCAATGTATGGCTCTTCGCCCGGATTGAGAACAAGAGGTCCATTAGCGAAAACTTGATGCCTCTTCGCAAGCAACCTGCGCGTTGGAAAAGGCTCTATCAGTCGCGTCAAAAGCCAACAGAGAATGCAAGGTATGATCAGGTGAAACTGACCTGTAGATTGATGCACGGACGTCGCTAAAAGAAGCTTCTGAATCTGCCTTGAGACAAACTTCAACTGCAATAAGTAACAACGACTGTTAGATTACAGCTGCCGAACCTAAACTCCGTGAACCATGGTACGAAAACAAACCTGATATAGGGATTTTTGCCGGAAATACTGAAGGCTCAGCGTCGATGCATGAAACATCCGCGTCTGTTTCTAAGGAGGAATCCATTTGACAGCCAACCTCAAGCGGCTGGTTCAGAAGCGCAGTGTAGTCTTCGGCATCCATGACAGCAGAGGAGAATCGTGTGCAGCTTTATCGAATTTTACGAGGAAAGGAGCCTTTTCATTCATCTACAGCCCGCAGCAGCGAGTTCCCAAGGTGGAAAAAAGAAAGATCGAATTACAGGGAGTTTCAGCATTAGAAGGGAAAATATGTCAATGGTAACTTATATGGGGCACTATAACGCGTACGGTAACTGTTACATTGAATTTTAACGCGTTTGGTAAATCGTTTCACGCGTTTGGTAACTATTCACTGCCAACCGATAACGCGAATGGTAACTACAAGTAACCATCACCTGAAATGACCTCGTTTAGAAATTTTCGCGCTCGCGCGAATTAATTTTGACGAATCCTGATGCATCGCGTTCTGCCTGCCACGCACATAATCCCGAACCAAGATAATTAGCGCAAATGTACGGTTTAATGAACTACTTGAAAACAATGGACACGTTTCGACACGCACGTTTGGACCTTAATGTTTGGTTCTTTTGGTTGTGTCCGTGGGGCAAAAATATAGAACTCTTTCGGATGGCATGCGATTCTGAAAGAATCAACCCTAAACACCTTGCGACAAGGCTAAAGCAGGTGGCAAAAAAACTCGAAGATATTTGTGATACTGAACGTCTAAATTTTAAATACTTGCCCATATTGGAAACAAGCCCTAAACGCCTTGTCGCAAGGTGTTTATGGTTGATGTTCTCAGAATCGCTTGCCGTCTGAAATAGTTCTATATTTTTGTGTCAATATCTCGATTTTAGAAAGTGTGTCAGAAATTGGTAGGTCACGATTCGTCGATTCAGTCTGGCGCAAGCGAGAAAAACCATAATCAGGGTCATTCTGAGTGAGCGTTTCTTCTAGTTACCATTCGCGTGATTGCTTGGCAGTATATAGTTACCAAACGCGTGAAACGAGTTACCAAACGCCTTAAAATTTAATGTAATAGTTACCGTACGCGTTATAGTGCCCCATTTAAGTTACCAATGAAATATTTTCCCGCATTAGAACGTTGATCAATCGTCTAAATTTACAAGACTGTTATACTTATTTAAACCAATCACACGAATCGATATGGTCAAATTATATTAATACCCTCTACATTTTTCAGAAGACAATAACTTTAGGAGACCACAAATATCTCTGTCTTTTTCCACGCTTAAAAGAGGCTCTTCACACATAAGTATATATTATTTTGCTTTGACAAGAAGATACTAAATTGCATACGTGATTACAGATTCCACTATGTATATCGACTCCTTCAACACACATGATGTTTCGTTGTTGGATCTCGGTCCTTCGCAATGAGCCGACGTCATCTCGCCAATCACGACGGCTCCCGAAACTGTCATTCGTACTGTCATTGAAATTGTCATCGTAGCACATCGCATGGACTTGCTACAACGTCTAAATACTTCCTCAGGCCGTGTGTGCAATCCTCGCAACCCCTGTCTGTAAAATACCTCCCTAAACGACATTCTAACGTGCACACGAAATCTTCGTGCTGCGCTCTGTCGCGTTTACCAAATAGTTTGTCCGAAATTGACGAACTTGTCACATCGTCTGTCATTCAACTAGTTTTCTCGCTGCACGTTCACTCTCGTTCACCAACGTGAAGAATTCGTATCTTGCACTGTCAGAAGTAGTAGGAGAAAGTTTAGAAGCAGAAAGAGGGTTTGGACTAGCAGCAGTTGAGATACAAATAGCAAACCCTAGATTGGGCTGTACTCGCTATAGAGTACCCCACTGCAGGCTAGACAAATACAACATTCTGACACACCCCCATAGCCAAAGTGGGGTGTAATCAGCACAACAAGCAGTCATAATAGTAGTTCACATTTTATGAGCAAAGCTAGAGGCAGTCACAGAGGGCAAGTGAGGAGGAGGAGGGCTGGCGAGAGGAGAGAAGAGTGGAGGCGACGACTGAAGCTGCAGACACACGGGCAACAGACGGCTCTGGTGCAGCTCTAGTGGCTACCGGGAGCAAGGGCCCCGGAATACAGGAGTAACAGGCTCTGCGTCTGATCAGCAGCGACAGGAGCAACGGACCCACGGGCGACAGGTGCAACCGGCTCTCTGAGCTACCGGTGGCTATCAGAACCCCGGAATACAGGCGCTGCAGACGACACGACGGCGGCCTCCGCTCAACCTCCCCCAACAGTCCCACACCCCTCGACACACACCCCCTGCTTCGCCCCTAGCTCCACTCCCCTTTCACCCCCCTAGTACCACTCCGTCGGCTCCCCACACACCCACCCCCCTGAGCGGCAGCTGCAGCAGCGGGAGACGGAGGAGGAGGAGAAGGAGGGGACGGGGCACACAACCGGCACCCCCACACCCGCCACCCCCAAACCCTAACACAGGAACGCGGGCAGTAGCGGGGGTGGGGCGCCGACAGAAGCTTGGGGGACGGACGAGGCGCGCGCACGGATCTGCCGCAGGCCGGACGAGGCGCGCGCGGGCTGCCCGGGCCGCGCGCGGGCCTGGCGCAGCCCGTACGGACTGCGCGCGGGCCTGGCGCAGCCCGTACGGGCCGCGCGTGAGCTGTACGGGCCGCGCGCGGGCCTGGCGCAGCCCGTACGGGCCGCGCGCGGGCCTGGCGCAGCCCGTACGGGCCGCGCGCGGGCCTGGCGCAGCCCGTACGGGCCGCGCGCGGGTCCCAGGGGCGCTTCGACGGGCGACGGGGGCGTTTCGACGGGCGACGGGGGGCGCTCCGACGGGCGACGGGGGCGCTTCGACGGGCGACGGGGGGGGGGGGGGCGCTTCGACGGGCGACGGGGGGCACTTCGACGGTGGGAAACCGCCGCGCGCCTCGGGGCGCACGGTAGGCAGAAAACCGCCGCACGCCCCGAGCGTACGGCGGGATGAAAACCTTAAAATTACGGCAGGAAGGAGGCGTCGCGCGACCGAGGCGCGCGACAAGTAGAACAGCAGCGGAAGCATTAGGTGGTGGGCCCACCCACAGGATCGACCCAAGGGGGTCGACCTGCTCTGATAGCATGTCAGAAGTAGTAGGAGAAAGTTTAGAAGCAGAAAGAGGGTTTGGACTAGCAGCAGTTGAGATACAAATAGCAAACCCTAGATTGGGCTGTACTCGCTATAGAGTACCCCACTGCAGGCTAGACAAATACAACATTCTGACATGCACTGTTGTCGACCCCCCACAGCTCTCGCTCCCGGCGTGCTTTGAAACGTCACGCACGTTCCCCATCCACCTCGCTTCCGCTTTTGCCAATGGCGTCTCGTCGAGCGCAGCGTCCGTGGTGACTACGGTAACCGCGACTTGCGGATGGATGATGCTGCCGTCTCTGCGTTCCCCATCGAATCACCACATCTAGCTACGTATCTCACGAACCAGCCCGACGAGAGAGAGAAGGCATCACCAGTCACTTCGGAGTCGGCAAAAGCACGCGATTCGTCCAAGTTGGAGGGGACTCATGTTTCTTCAGCCACGACATGCGATTCTGAGGCGCCTCGGAATCCGTCTGGCACTCCGTCAGCCGGCGATTGCGATTTTGAATGCAACATCTGCCTCGACAAGGCGAGTGAGCCCGTCGTGACCCTGTGCGGCCATCTTTTCTGCTGGTCGTGCCTCTATCGGTGGATCACTCTCGCGTCGCGCTCCCTGCAGTGCCCCGTGTGCAAGTCCGACGTGGACGGGAGGAAGGTCGTCCCCTTGTACGACCGCGGCACAGCGCGCTCCGACCCACGGAAACGAGCAGCCATTGTTGGATGCGGAGTGAAGATTGCCTCGTTGGAAGAAACAGGCGGTCCAGATGACGCCCTTCCCAGCTCAGCCATCCCTCCGCGACCAGGGGGTAGACGCACCTGTCAGAACACCAAGCAGGAATGAGTGCATTGAATGAAATGTGGGTACAAGTACTAACCCTAACTTTGGGTTGTACCCCATATGGGCTACGTCACAAGACCAGTCAAGAAAAGCAAAGCAAGCTCAGGGTGGATTACAACGTCACCACACAGTCCGAGCACAAGCAAATGGCCACAAGGCCAGATCACATACAGAGGTATATATGCAACAACAACAGTACAGTGATCACTACCTAGCAAGCGCAAGCATGCAAGTATACATATAAATCACAGTACAAGCAAAGTCACGAAGTGAGCAAGTGAGACGAAACAGGCACAAGGCCTAGCATAGTACAGAAGCGCTGATGATCACCAGACGGAAGTGCCTTGGTGAATATATCAGCAGTGTTGGCCCGGGTGGCCACGTAAGCAACACGAAGCTGACCACGCTGCTGCAACTCTCGAGCAAGGAAGTAACGCAGAGCGATGTGCTTCGTTCTGTGCTCCAGTTTGTGCTCCTGAGACAACGTAATAGCAGCCTTGTTGTCTACGTACAGAACTGGAGGAGAACGAGGCCGCTCTCCCAAGTCGGTCAGCAGGTAGGTAAGCCAGCGTAACTCCTGTGCAGCCATGGCCCCTGCGTAGATCTCAGCCTCACAACTGGAGCTGAGAACAGAAGACAAGCGGGTAGACCGCCAAGAAACAGAGCCACAGCCAAGGCTGAAAGTGTAACCCTGTGACGACCGCTGCGTAGCCAGGTCGTCAACCCAAGACGCGTCCGAGTGTCCAGTGAGGACAACCTCACCCTGTCCTCCAAGCACAAGCCCCATGCCCGATGTACTGCACAAGTAACGCAGTACCCTCTTAGCAGCCTCCCAGTGCTCTCGCCGGTGTCTCCCAGGCGCAACGTAGCGAGCCAGGATGCTAAGGGGGTACGCAAGGTCAGGTCGAGTGCAGGTCATGAGGTACATGAGGCAGCCCACAAGCTCTGGGTACGGGCCACTCGGCTCTACGGACTCATCTGAAGGCAGAGCTGAGAGCGAGTGACCGGTAGCCATAGGAGTGGACTGTGGCGAGGACCAAGTGAAGCCGAAGCGCTGAAGGACCTGCTGCACCATGTGTGACTGAGTCAGTGTGATGGTGCGT